AAGACAGCATAACTCCTATAAATATTTCATGTGAACATGCCATTGTTTTTGCCATTTACATACAATATCCATTCTCTGTTTACAATTCCTTTAAAGAACCAATTCACATCAGATTTACTTTTGTGGCTTTCAAATCCCTTCCTGAATAAATACATACTGAATATGTCAATTAAAGTCACAATGATTGGTGATTCCTAATTGTGTTGGATAGCTTTAGTGTCAACTTGGCACACCTGGGTTGAGGGAACCTCGATTGGGGAACTTCCTCTATTGGACTGGCCTGTGGCCATGTCTGAAGGGCATCTTCTTGACGACTGATGTGGGAGGGCCCAGCCCACTGTGGGTGGTGCCACCCCTGGGCAGGTGGGCCTGTGTTGCATAAGAAAGCAGGCTGAGCAGGGGCCAGGGGAGCAAGTCAGTAAGCAGCATTCCTCTATGGCCTGTGCTCCAGCTCCTGCCTCCACGTTCCTGCCCTGAGTTCCTACCTTGGCTCCCTGATGAACTGTGTCCATGGATATGTAAGCTAAATAAACCCTTTCCTCCCCAAGTTGGTATTGGTCAAAGTATTTTGTCATAGCAATGAAGAAACAAACCAGAACACTAATCATGGCTTTCAAGTGGTTTATTTTCAAGTTAACATATTTTAAAATTATCTGAGATAGATTATTGAGAAAATATTTAACTTGTATAAATTTTCTACTTGTGAAGCACAAAGAATATACAGAGAATTGCATCCTCTATAATTTTACATTTGATTCAGAGATTAAAATGTAAGACATGGTAGAAAAAATATACAGGCAAAGACTGATTACAGAAATTCAGAAGAAAGAGTGGGTGAATGGCCAGGAAATTATCCATGGAAACAATGGGATGTAATTATGATACAATGAGAAATTCAAAGTGACTAAAGTGGCTTTCTTAATAACATCAGCCAATACTGGATAGCCACTGTGCTATGCACTATTTAACTGCTTACCCACATATTGTTGTGCTTTAAACTACAAAATAAGCCCAGGAAGAAGTATTATTTGCATTGTGTCCAGTTTATAAATGGGACAGACATACGGGGCACAATAAAGCACATTCCATCACCTGCCAAAGACACACAGGAAGGAGCAGAACTGAGGATGGGCACCAGGAGACTGGATTTAGAGCCTGGATTCTCCACTGTCCTAGTGTTGTCTCTGACACATGAAGCTAGGTGCTCCCTTCATTATTTTGTTGAACCTTTTTGAATTACACAAGTTCAGTAGAATTTCACTTTCTATTGTTTTTTAAGCTTAGATCACACCCATGGGTGCTAACAATGAAATTACTAATTCATTTAGTTTGACCAAATTCTTCATCTGTGAAACAAAATCATAGTGTATATAAGCAGTTATCAAACAGTTTGAGAGTAGCTATTTTAAAATAAGAAATTATGGGGCTGGAGTGATGGCTCAGTGATTAAGAGAAATGGCTGCTCTTGCAGAGGACCCAGGTTTGACTCCCAGCACTTACATGGTGGCTAACAGCCGTTCATAACTCCTGCTGCATAACACAGATGCACTTACATACATATAGGCAATACACTCATAAAATAAAAATAATACAAAATATTTTAAAATAAGAAAATGTGCAGATGTAGGTATTGTGTATGTTCACCTTCACTCACTGGTTTCCCTGCTGGAACTTACTGTACAAAGGTAAGCTTTCTACTAACTCAGAACAGTGCAGCCCCCCAAAATCCACTCTTCCAGAGTAATTTAAAAAGCCCATCCTCATGGAAATATCTGAGATTTTATGTGTTCTAAATATCCTACTCCTGCAACTCTCATCTCTAACCTGTCATTTCTTTCTGATGTGAGAAGAAAGAGGTTGTCCCCAAATCTCTTAGTCATAATAAAGATTTCTTTTGTTCCCCTAAGTTCTCTCTTTCTCTTTCAGCTTCAAGTCCTTACAAAATAATGAAGCTTGCTTTGCAGAAGTCATAATTACTATTGACCTCATGTGTAAAAGAAATAGTTCTAAGATATCTGAGCTAAAATTTATAATACAAAAAATAAAGATTTATAACATTTTTATTTATTTATTTTTATTTTATATATATGAATGTTTTGTCTACATGTCTGTAAATGCACCATGTACTCACAGAACCCATGGAGGCCAGAGTGGGGCATTGGATCCCTTGGTACTAGAGTTATGGATGGTTGTGAGCTGCCATGTGGGTGCTGAGAACTGAACCTGTGTCTTCTGCAAGAGCAGCCAGTGCTCTTAACCACTGAGCTATTTCTCCAGCCTCAAATTTGTAAAATTTTAACTGGTTTTGTGAAAATAGTAAGTAAAAATATTCACATTTTATGATTCCAAACATTTTACATGTGAATCCTGAAGACAAGTTTTTCCTGATCTCCATGCTATATAGTGAGTTGAACAATTAATAGCATATATTGTGTATAAATGAGAGAATATCATTGAAAATTTATACTTCACTCCAAGAGCACACTAGACAAGGCTATCTTGAGTCTGTGCCTACTTTTCTCTTTTAAAAATGTCTCCCTGAGAATTTGGTCCTGGGATTTCCCCATTTCTTAAAGATTTAATTTTTAATTTCTGTAGTAGAGCTATTTGAGAAATACCAGGAGAGAGTTAAAGGAAATGTCATTCTAGGCACTGCAGGGGAAAGGGACTCTACTTGTAAAATGGTAGCTGGGAATTTTAGCTGCCCACAGTGAACATGTCTTTGGTGTGAAAAGCTAAAAGTAACACTCAGGCTTTCGACAGTGATGAGAGTCTCTATGATGATGGTCCTGGCATCAGCAGAATCAGTCCAGGCTAGCTGTCCAACAATAATTGTAAACCTCTGCTCCAACAGCATTCATCCGTTAGCACTATACAAGCTCCACAGGTCGAGTAAACTAATTCTTGCTCTATGAGGGTTTGCTGAAATCACACAGCAGTAAGCAAAAGGCAGTAGAATGTATTGTACATGTCTTTTGACTGTCCCCCAGACCTGGCCACTCACCCCACTGCAGCTACACAGATGCTTCTCAGAGCCCCTGTGTTACCTTAGTGAAATCACTGTCATACATCTCCTCTCTCTTTCTTATTGGCCTCAGCAGCCCAAAGGTGGAAGTCTGGCGTATTTAATTTCTTTGTTGAAGCTCTGAAGTGCAAAGCAAAGAGCTAGTGAAGTAATTGACCCAAGAGCTGAATTAAGTGGTAAAGCTGGACGGCGCATTGTTTGGAGCACATGCTAGGGGAACCATGTCAGAGCTATCCTGGGCAGGAGAAGGGACTTCCTAGGAGTGAGGCTCCAGTAGAGGAATAGAAGGGAAACTAGCCTGGAATGCTTTGTTGGGAAGAAAGAGGTGTTCAGCATCCTACAGTCTTGGAAAGACACAGGTGATAGAAAGTCCTTGAAGTTGGAAGTCAGTGATTCAGATTTCATTGGAAAACAATAGAGAGGCCCTGTAGTTCTCTAGTCTTGATAATGAATGATCAAGGTAACAATCTAAAGGGCAATTCTAATGACTATGTATTTATATAAAGATTCATATGAGTCTAGATAGACTGACTACTCTCCAGTGGATGAACTTGCACCAATGGATACCTGGATAGAAATGCTTGACCATGAAGCCATCCATAGTCAAGCAGGACCCTTGACTTATCTTTGCATAGATGGAACTGGTAAAAGAAAGGAGCCAGGGGCTCCTCCCAAGCCCATGTGATGCCTGAGGAACAGATCCTCAAACGACCTTAAGAGTAAAAATAAATTGGTTTATCTGGGCCAATTGTAGGGTCTTAAACACCCAAAAGGAAAGTATAACCAAAGATTACAGGGATCAATATAATTTCTTAAGAGTACATATGTATAACTAAAGGCTACATAACAAGAAACAATGCCAGACAGGAGATACCTTTCTTTGAGTTATTGGCCAGGGTGGCCCAAGAGACCCCCAGACAGTAACCCAGCACAGAACTGGGAAAATGAACAGCAGACCCCAATCTTATCTAAAGGAATATTGACAACTGTTGTTGCTAGATGAAGAAGAACTGATCTCCCTAAAACAAGGGACTCTAGATAGGCTGACTAGATTCAGCAGATGGACAAGCAGTGGGGAATGGCTGGGGGTGCTGACAACACAGCAGACAGTAGGAGGGATGACAGAGTATATGGGCTCCAGTGGGGGGAAGGGAGGCTATGGGAGGGTGCCATTTGGGAAGTGGGTATATAGATGAATAAGATTGTTTGAGATGTTCTGTATGACATACACGCTAAAAAATCAACAAATAAAAAAGTGACATATTTGAGGAGGAAGCATAAAAACTTATGTCACATTAATTACTAGAGACAAAAAACATTACCATTGAAATCTACCTGATGACTTTATATCCATACTCAGGTGCCAAGGATCTGAGTGTAACTGACTGTGACTAGTAATAATCAGATACATAGAGATTAGAGTCACATGTGCAACCATCTAAATATTAGTAGCATTAAAAATGACTCTGTAGGACACAGCATATTTTAAAATGAAATAGAGATCTTTTTTAAATGGTAAATACTAATTCAATTTTATGTCTTATAGGGTTTATACTGAGTTCAATATTGTATAATGGTATCAATTCAACTGTGAACCTAAAAATGTATAGCCACTTTTGAAAGAGATGTATCCTTGCTCTGGAAATTGTTATTGAATATGTTAAAGCTGTAATGAAATGCTTCTTCTAATCATGTGGTTATTAAATTTAAAAAATCAAAAAAAAAAAGAAAAGAAAAAGAACTGCTTGACTGGATAGGACTTAACATATATGACAGAATACCTGAAATCTTGTGAGAGGGAGCTATGGGGGAGCAGGGGAGGATGTGGGGTCTAAATTTGTTTAAGATATATGAAATTCACAAAAACTCAATAAAAAAGAAAGATGCATATGTAGAAAACATCAGATTATGAAGTGCTGCCTTTCATTTAGGGACATTGGTTGATCCTGAAGGCCTTTCTGTCCTCATCCCACAGGTTGTTATTTTGTACTTTGAGCCAAGTACATCCGGCTGCATTCTCCTGAGATGGGTCCGTCTTCTCGGTTTCGCCACTGTTTATGGAACGGTGACTCTCAAGCTTCACAGGTACATTACATTTTATCAGTCTTGTGCTGGAAGAATCAAATTGTTTGGCTTAGCAAGTAATTATAATATGGATGGCAAGTTGAATGGTTTAAATGCAAGAACGTAAATAGCAAGGACACACACACACACACACACACACACACACACACACACACACTTCAGTTCCAAGCAATATATGTAAGATTTTCTAGGGAAATCTTTAATAGAACTGAACTCTCATACCAAGAGCTTTAATGTACTGTCTGTGTGTGTGTGTGTATGTGTGTGTGTGTGTGTGTGTGTGTGTGTATGTGTGTATGTGTGTGTGTGTTGCTATAGGATGGATTTATTCTGATAAGTACAATGTTGGAATGTTAAAGAGGTCAGTCAGAAAGGAAGACAACATGACTGAAATAGTGGTGATGGTCTGAGTTACTGTCAATGGTCAGCAACACGCTCATTGCACTAAAATAATGACCTCTCTCCCCCCTTCCCAAGTTCCATGTTGCAGGGCAACCCTGCTGATATTCTAGGATGAAGTTATAAAAATAATGTCTTTAGCATTCCTTCAGTGGTTATCAACCTTGAAAACTGTAGAATACTATAAATTCCTTTTTACTTAGTTCAAAGCCATCTAAATATTAGGAAAATGGAGGTAATAAAATTAATTACCTGTCCACAATGCTAGGGATGGCTGGCATTGTTCCTAGACGTTCCTTTTCCTCTTGTCTACAAGTTTAAAGAAAGCCTTGGTGAAATCATGCCCAAGAGAAAATAAAGGCCTGCAGGTAGGGTAACACTGAAGCCTTCGGTCCTGATGACCTTATGGCTGTTCTGGTGGCTATAGTGAGCACTCCTATTTGTATATTCATTTACCAATAAATGATTCTCAGTGAAAGTATCCAAATATGGCTCAGAGAGGGGCTTATTTTTGATGCCGTTATACATGTTATGTGCTTTCTTTAATTTCTCCCCTTCCAACTTTTAAAAAATGTAATAATTATGCTATCTATCAAAGAGACCAGTCCTCCCTCCTGCCCTTCCTCCCTGCTCCCCTCCATCCTCTTTTTTTCTTCTTTTCTGGTACCAAATTATTGAGACTGCTGTACATTATCTTTGAGGGAAGTTTGACTACCCTTGAGTCTCAGGAATATGTGTGTGTGTGTGTGTGTGTGTGTGTGTGTGTGTGTGTGTGTGTGTGTGTGTGTGTTTTAAGAAATATAGAACTGGATTTCAGAAGGTCCAATTTAAATTTTAATTTAGCTTCCAAGAAACCATAGGCCTATTTAATTTTTGAAAGACAGTGATTAGACCAGTCTCTAAGCTCTTCCTGGCTGCCCGTTTACCATGTCACTGCACTTTGCCACTGGGTCCTAGTGTAATGCCTTCCAAGTTCCATTCCTTACGTGATTGCTATTTTTTAACTGATGCTCACCAAAAGAAACAAGAATCATTGATGACCTGCAATGAGCAGTAAGCCTTCTGGAGTCCTGAAATGAGAACCCACTTGTGACTTGAGAATGACATCACTCCTCACTAGACTAGCACAGAGTGTCTCTGTCATAATATTTTCACTGCTTTATAACCTTCTCACCCAATGCTAGTTTCACTTTAATTTTTCTTCTCCTTGAAGTAAATGAGTCTTTCCATTGACCCCCTGGCACTCCCATGGCTGATGTATGAGAAATGTTTAATTCATTTCAGATGAGTGAGTGAAGGCACAAGTCAGATTCAGACCAGGAAGCTGCTTCCCACAGTGCATTTGGAGTCCCTGACTCACTGTGGGCTTCCTCAGTGTGACCAAGTGCCTTGTACACAGGACACTGTGGTCTACAAAGAGATACTGGATGCATCTGAGGACAGCATTAAACAGCACTGAATCATAAAGTGAGAAAGTGACGCCCATTCTGGTTCTTTCAACCCTCCTGATTATTTCCAGGAGAAATATTAGTTTGCAGCTCCTAGGTTTTTATTAATACCGGTCAACCCACTGCTAATCTTCCTCTGGAAAGAGCAGAAGACACTTCAGGCTCAGGCTTTTTGCTGAGTTGCTTCCTCTTAAAGATACATCATCCGGTGGCACATGCCTTTAATCCCAGCACTCGCGAGGCAGAGGCAGGTGGATCTCTGTGAGTTTAAGGCCAACCTGGTCTACATAGTGAGTTCCAGGACAGCTGGGGCTACAGCGAGACCCTGTCCCAAAAAGACCAAAAAAAAAAAAAAGATACATAATCTTTGTTCTCCTGTATTTATTTTTATAGCTACTTTCTATTTATGGAAAGTATTGTCTATTTTCTTTACAGTAATAATATAAAGTTTCCTTTAAAATATTTTAAATCAATAAATGGAAGCTGATTTTAAAAGCCATTAACCAATGAACAGATACAGCAGAAATATTGAGGGTATGTGAAAATGATTAGAATTTGGGAAGTTGCTTCCTTTATCATTTCTTTTGTTTAAGAGCTAGAATTAAAATGATTTTTGTGTGTACGTCTCTAGAAATCATTTCAGTGAAGAATTATTCCACTAAAGGCTTAAATTTAGTGGAAATTTTCTAATGTAATGAGTAAAATTACTCTAATCCTGTATGAACCACGTGGCTTTACTATTATTTGTGTTTTCTCTGTATTTCTTAACTTTAATTGATTTAAATATTATTTATCTATAACCTGAGCAATCAGCACCCTAGAGAAAGGTGAACACTCTTCAGGTAGGACTGGCCATTCCCAGCTTGTGCTCCCATATGCAGGAAGGTGCCAGGCCCACTCTTTGTATTCAGGTATCTTTTAGATGAATAGGTAGGTGGATGTTTTTCTGAATGCAGCTGCAACAGATGCTTTCTGTCCAGCATCTGAGTCAAGCAATGCATGTCCTGAAGAGAGCCAATCAAGAGGAATGTCATAAACCCTGACAATTCTAAATTTTAATTTTAATTTTGTCATTATCTACTTATACAACCAAAAATAAACTATTCTACTATCAAGAATTAGCTTTATACCTATAAAAATGGTTTGATAACCCGTTAAGTCAGGATGACATAATTTGAATACATCAAAGCAGGGTTTTTGTAGTTGCAAATCATAGAAACTGACTATAGTCAAATGAAGCTGAAGAGGAATTCATTGGTAGATATAGGCAACAACACAGAGTTAAAGAGAAAGGTAGAAAAGCCACCCTGAGGGAGGTCCAGGGTAGTGTCTTCAAGGGTCAGAAGAGCCTGAGGGGAGACACTGTGTATGCTGAATGACAAAGCCTCCTTCTCATGGAAATTTCATTTTTGTACTAGATTTAGTTTTTAAAAGTTAATAAGGGAGATATGGATAAAAATCGGGTTAGTTTAAGGGAGGGGAAGGGAAGGGTATACAAGGAACCTAGGGGATAAAGGGAAAGAAGGAGCTCAAGAGAGGTAGGACCATAGGAGAAGGGTATTATTAAGAGAGAAAG